GGTTCAATGGGTGATGCGCATTAGGGGGGACACTTGTCGGGATGAGCCCAGGGTGTCATGTGTAAGAGATGAATCACTGGGTTCTGTTCCTGAAGCCAAGACAGTGTAGTTAGTTAACTACACTGTATGTTAACTAACTTGAGGGGGAAAAAAAAAAACAGGCATTGGCCGTTGTTGCAAAGGCAATCCCAACCATTCCGCTGTTATTTGCAAATATATCCAGTCGCCCCGGAACTGTCATCAGCTTAGCTCTGCTTATTAAATTTCATTTTGGCCATTGTTAAAATCAGCCAGAGTGATTTTAACACTCTGGACCAACATGTTGATAGCAGGGTATGGGCTTTGACAAAGTAGCAGGGGTCAAGGTAAGCCCAGTTGGGACTAACAATTTGCTACAGATGATTATGCAGTCAAGAAGCTGGAAAGGGAGCAAATCTAATTTTTAGACCCGAGTCCTGTCTGGTCTAGGAAGCAGTTCATACAGTGCGAGTAAACCTGGGAGCATGGGTGAGGCGTGGAGCGGCCCTGGGTTCAGAGAGAGCTGTGTGTTCAAGGAGTAACCCGTGTGTGTCGAGGGGCTGGATTAAGAGAGAAGGGAGTAGGGGAGGGGGAGATCAGAGGGCGGTAAGGGGGTCTTCTAGGCCCTGGGGAGGATTTTAAACTTTAAAATGGACAGGAGAGCACGAGGAGATACACGAGGGGTCAGCAAACTCTGACCAGTGGGCCAAATGAGGCCCTCCTCTATTTTTGTAAATAAAGTTTTATTGGCACACAGCCGTGCTTACTTGCTTTCCTGCTACCTCGGCAGAGCTGAGTAGTTGGGACTGAGAATGCATGACCCACGAAGCCTAAAGTATTGACTGTCTGGCTCTTCACAGGAATGGTTTGCCACCTCCTGGCTTATCCAGTGGGAAAATAGGACGTGATTTATATTTTAGTAATAGAATACGTGTTGACGTTATTGATATAAACAGAATATAAGCATTGTAGAGGCATTAATATATAAGTATTGATACAAGCGTTAGGGAAGAAATTAATCGTAAGGAGTAATAGCTCACATTTTTGTGTATCTGGCTTTGTTCTGAACATTTTATATATATACGCTCATTTAATCCTTATAACAATCATGTAAGTGCTTTAATTATGCCTGTCTTATAGATAAGGAAACCAAGGCATGGGAGTAGTTAAATGACCCGCCCAAGGTCATACCGGTAACTGGCGGAGCAGAGATTTGAACTCAGTCTCACCTTGGAGCCCATTGTGCTATTCTGCTGATTGATGCTGTGGGGGAAGGTAGTATTGCTTCTGCCTAGAGGCAGTATTCAGAAGAGAGGCAATGCTTACCTGGGCTTTGCAGGGTATGTAGGAGTTGGACAGCTGGAGGACAGGAGCAGGAGTCACCTGAGGACTGGGGACTGAACAGCTTGAAACCCAGAGTTAATGTGGCTTTGATGCCAAGGGCAGACCGCAGGCTGAAATGGGCTTGTAAATGGGGTTCAGCCCTGGGATCCAGGACCAGCAACATGATGTGTAAAATCATGCAAAATGAAAATGCAGAGCCTTTTATTCAAAAAGCATTAAGAATTTGAAGACGGCAGCAACATAAGCGATCATTGCCGCTGGGGCAGGACTGGGCAGTGGGGTAATTACAAGGCCAGGAGGCCTTGCATGGTCGCGAGGAGGGGACCAGGCAGCAAGGGCCCTATGCAACAGGACAGTGGTTTAGGATGCTAGGATCAGCAAGGCATCTTCACCCCCAGGGATCAGGGGTCAAAAAAGCAAAGATACTAATGTTTTGAGAGCAGCCCAGAGCACATCAATCTTCAGACACCCATGAGCCTGGAGCTCGGGGTGTTTTCTTTGGCACAACCTCCCAAGACAATTTATTTTTATCAATAAAACTTGGAAACTCTTGAGCCAAGCAGTCCACAGGGGCAGGAGCTGATTCCTGGAGTGTATGCCCCTCTTCCCCTCCCTTGTAAGGTGGAAGGCCAAGGCCACAATCATGGTCAGGCCACATCTTTGTTGTAAAAGAGAAGAGGCAGGAGAGGCTGAAAACAAAGATGGAAAATGAGGAGGTTATAATGCGAAAGGAGAGCATCTGGGGATCTGGACGCTGGGTATACTGCGTCCTGACTCTTGCCTCAGATCGGAATTAGGCTCAGGACCACCTGCCAAGGTGACTTCCCATGCTCAGATTTTCTCTCCTCCTTCTTGCTCTGATCAGAAGCTAGCCCCTTCAGCCCAGATGATGTCTGTCAAGCATTCTGAGGTTAGCCTGATTGAAGTAATTCATACTAAGGTGTAAATGACTGAGTAGTTTGGTTCATTTGGTCCCTGGTTACATTTCCAAAGAGCCTGCCAAGGCGAGTCAAGACTCCCACATATATGGAAGAGCCCTTGGATGGAGAGGGCTTCACTCTGGTCACTCTGGGTTTCACTCTGTCTTTTCCACATTCCATCCTCTCTTCTCACTTACCAAAATAAAAAGGCAACGGGCAAACAGCAGCTGTGGCATCGAAGAGACCCACACCAGGACCTCACTTCTTCTCCATTACCTCTTTGTGTGATAGCAGGAGCAGTCACGATCTCCAACAATTCCTTCAACCTCTCTGAGCCTCAGTTTCCCCAGGGGCGTGATGGGGATCATCAGTGAGTCTTCCGTTAGGTTGTTGGGAGGTTTATGAAAAGCTTCGTGAGCCCAGTGCCTAGCAGAGTGTAGGCCTTCAACAAACATCAATCCCTTTTCCTGGGCCCCTCTTTTGGCCTTAGTGCTAAGGCAAGTCCCCCGAGCGTTGGGCCTGTCTTATGGAATGACCGGGCAAAATGCAGTAGAAAGAGTCCTGATGACATCGGCATCAGAGACCTGACTGTGCCCTTGCCTCGCTGTGTGACCTAGGGCAAGCTGCTTACGCACTCTGGGCCAGAGTTCTGCTTCTGTAATAACCAGGAAGTGTATGTCGTACCCTCAGGATGAGGGGAGGGAAGGTAAAGGAGACAACGCATGTGAAACGGTGAGCACAGGGCTTCTACTCCTAAAAAAGTCAACTCTCTCCGTAAAATTTGTTTGTTTGTTTGTTTGGACTCTCTTTCCCCCTGAAGAAAGGGGCATAATGACTTCACGGCTCCCCATTCACAAAGTGCCTCTGAGGCCACATGAAATAATGTGGCCATTGGGAAGAGGGAGAGGGCTGTACTGAGGCTGGCTTGAGGATGTGTCCTCATACCTGGAGATCAGACGCTTGATGTCTGGACGTCGGGCCCCAGGGCGCTAGGTCCGGAAATTCAGCGCACGTGTTTCTTTTTTAGCCCCGAGAAAAGTTGTCAGCGGGTCCTTGGCAGGGCAAATTCATTTCTTTCTTTCCTAATTAGGAAAAAAAAAAAAAGAGCAGGGACCGAACTAGTGCTGTGGCACTGGTTCAGCATGTACAGCCTTGAGCTGACCTCGCGGTAGACGCATTCTTTTCCAGACTTAACAAAAATGCTCTCTTGTGTTTCAGAATATTCAGCGAGCTCAGAAAATCAGAGTCTAGGCAAATAAGGGAAAGTCAAGAGAAGAAAACCAGAGGGGAGGACAAGAAGGGACGAAAGTTTTGGTTGAGGCCCTGTCTTTCCAATTAACTAGAAAAAATGGGAGAGTTAGAGGCAGTATCTGGAAACCTCAGATTAAACAGTCCCACTATGATGATCCTTGGTGGCCAAGAGAGGCAGGTGGTTTGAAAAAGCCATTTGATTAAAAAAAAAAAATCTGCTCATTTTCTAGAAGTTCTCTTTTGAAAAAACAAACAATGCTCTGCCCATCTGAATGTATCAGTCATTTACACTTTAGTGTGAATTACTTCAACCAGGTTCATTCTTTGATGTTTGACTCCGATCATTAGCTAGCCACCTTACAATCAGAGTGGGCTTCACCAGAGGATAAAGTGGCTTATATCTGCCCAACAGCTGGTAAGATAACCTGTAAGGGAAGCTTCTAAATCTTTGACTTTAGGTTCTGGTGCTGTGAGAGGTACCTATTTCCTTCCTGGAAGGCTGCCCGTTGCCTGATCTTTCTATTGGTAACAAAGCTAGTGATGTCTTAGAAGTAGATGATTTGCAGAGAAACTATTCTGTGTGGTTCTATAATGGCGGGTTCGTGTCATTAGGCACGTGTCGAAACCCATAGAGTGCACAACACCAAGAGCGAACTCTGGTGAACTCTGGACTCTGGGTGATGGCTCTGTCAGTGTATTCGTTGATTCTAGCAAGCGTAACGTTCTGGTGGGGGACGTTGGTGGTGACGGAGTCTGTGCACCTCGAGCTCCAGGGGGATAGAGGAACTCAGTATTCTTTATGCTCTGTTGTTTCTGGGTTCAGGTCATGATTCATGGTCTGTGGGTTTGAGTCCCTTGTTGGCCTCTGTGCTGACAGAGAGAAGCCTGCTGGGGATTCTCTCTCTTTCCCTCTCTTTCTGCCCCTACCCCTTCTTGCACCCTCTCTCAAAATAAATAAAGAAACTTAAAAAAAAAAATAGAGGAGGGGCGCCTGGGTGGCTCAGTCGGTTGAGCGCCGACTTCGGCTCAGGTCAAGATCTCGCGGTCCGTGAGTTCGAGCCCCGCGTCGGGCTCTGTGCTGACAGCTCAGAGCCTGGAGCCTGTTTCAGGTTCTGTGTCTCCCTCTCTCTGACCCTCCCCCGTTCATGCTCTATCTCTCTCTGTCCCAAAAATAAATAAACGTTAAAAAAAAATTAAAAAAAAAAATAGAGGAGTCCAAATAAACCTAAGTTTGGACCTTGGTGGGAAAACTCAGTTTTTCTCTTTCTGTCTTGCCATCTGAATTCTTTCTTGCATCCTCTCAGGAGTAGATGGAGCGAGTGGCCAGTGTTTGAGGCCCGGCCCAGCTCCGTCCCGGTGGCACGACCCTGGGCAAGCCTCCCTGGTAAATGACCCAGAGCTGCAGAAAGATACCCGCAGAGCACCGGGGGCAGTGATTTCCAGCGGCTCACTTCCCGTGTCTTTCAGAGGCGAGTCTGGAGCCGGGAAGACGGAAAACACCAAGAAGGTCATCCAGTACCTGGCCGTGGTGGCCTCCTCCCACAAGGGCAAGAAGGACACAAGCATCACGGTGAGTGCAGCACCCCTCCGTGGTTGTGGTCGTGACCTAGCACACGGGTCTCTGGGCTCTGGTGAGAGGGCCAGGCCCATATTTACCGGCCCCTTGCCCCAGCAACTCACAAGGGTGGTCTTTTCCCACCCGGGTCTTTTTCCACGCCCTTAGGGCCTGGCTGCTTCCTCGCCTCAGCCAGGATCATCGTCCTGAGGGTCCTGTTCCATGAGACGGGACGAGCCCTCTCCTGCCACCGCAGGACCCTTGCTTCACCTCAGGGCTTCCCAGGACTGGGAACTGCCATCTTGGACCAGTCCGTTCTCTGCTGTGGGGCTGCCTTAGGCGCTGTAGGACTTTGAGCAGCCTCCTGGCCTCTCCCCACATGAGGCTGTCCCAGGTGGTGACAACCGAAAACCTCTGCAGGCATCCCCAGGTGCCCCTGATTGAGAACCACTGCTGTAAACTCCCTAGAGCTGAGACGCACCTGTCCCTCTTCCACGTGCCCCTTTGGGACCCCAGGGCCTGGGAATACCAGCATCACCCAGCTCTGGGCTTTGGTCCAGCTCAGTTGCCTGAGTATCAGCTGGGTGGCGGGCATCGTGGGATGGGGTCTGGTGCTGAGTCCGAGCGATGCTGTCATTCTAACCCACCGGGCTTCTAGACACTTGGGGAGGAGAGAGACTGTCAAATAACCATGCAGATAAACCCACGCTGCCGCAGTCTGGGGGCTCGGAAGGAAAAGAAGAGTAGGTTTCTGGAATCCTCCCTTCCTCGGCCCGTCCCTCTCCTCCTCTGTCTTAGCGCTGACTCATCTGTCCCACAAGAGGGGACACTCAGTGGGGCGCTCTGTCTCAAGGTCTAGGGCCGGGGAGATGGCAGAGTGGATGCTTCAGGACAGCTTTGGGGGGGGCCCCGGTTCCTGCCATTCCGGGTCTTGCTCTCCAGCCCTCGCAGGTGACTCAGTCACAGGGACAGCTGGCCCGGAGGCACTGGGGGAGCAGGCACGGGCGCTGGAACCCTGCGGGAGACTCAGGGTCCTGCCTTTCCCCGCTGTCTCCGGCGCAGCGTGTAGGAACCTAGAACCCCGCAGCTAAGTTTACCTGGCAGTTAAACGTTGCTTCCTGCCATCTTTCCCCCCCCTGTAATCGTAATTTGACATAAGAAATAATAACGCTTAATAACTGGTCCTTACCAGGTGCCTACGATGTGCCAGACGCTTTGTTTTCTGTGCGCGCAAACGCGTCTCAGATGCGTCTCATTGATAACAACATTTTAAAGAGCCCCCCTCGGCCCCAGCAGTTACAAAGCCTTTTGCGATGTCTCAGTCGCTAAGAAATGTTAAAAGGGAGCAAGCAATACCGAAAGGCCACGGAATCAAAGGAAAGCCTCTGCTTCCCTAGTTATCTCGGGGAATCCAGGCTGTCTGGTGGGGGCGGGAGGGGGCGGGGAATGGAAATCCTAATTCTCCAGACCCCGACGCGCGTGTGATTGAAATAACACTGACGTTTCTTTTATACTGTATCGTTCAACCACAGCAAGGCCCATCTTTTGCCTACGTGAGTAACTGAGAGTGTTTTCCTGGTGTGGACGAGAGGCACAGAGTGTATTAGGCCTGCATGCTCCTGACGCACCCACTGAGTCCCGTAGCTGATGGTAGAAGGGGCCCTCGAGTTTCCCAGCCCAGACCCAGCTCCCCGGAGTGCAGTCCTGCGGCGGTCGGATGCCAGGGTGTGGTGTGGGGGCCCGTATACCAGCCGCAGGACCCCCGTCGGAATGCCCCAGGGTGTCCTCCAGCCAGAAACGGATGTCCCCAGTTCCGAACGTATCTCCTCGCCCTTCCCATGAACGCATCTGCCACCGGTTCCCCTGACTGGACCGCCCCAGAAGCGTCTGTCCCATCTGGTTGAGCGTTTCAGGACTGCCTGTCCCTAAAGCTTCCCTGGCTTGATTGTCAGTTAATGGCCCTGCTGTGGCATGCCTTCCTCCCTCCTCCCTAAATTTCTTCCCTGAGCCCTGCCCCCCACGCACCAGTGTGCCCTTGTGCATGTGTGTGCAGTGTGTGTCTGTCTTTGCATGCTCGTTGCTTGACCCGAGGCTCCAGAGCCGGGAGACTCGGGGTTTGCGATGCCCTGGCTTTGGTGGCACGGTAAGGCCCCAGCTACGCGACGCACGACAGGGTCCTGCGTGGGCCTCTGCAGATATAAACTCATCTCTAACGCAGAGCCTGGGGGGGCTGACGTATGGGTCCCATTCTGGAAGAGACCCTCAGAAGCCCTAGCATGTGCTAGGATCACCCTGAGCCCTTAGTTAGCTCCTGGGAGGCAACGGCATGGGTGGATCAGAAGGACAATTGGGATTCTTGTTTGGGATCTGCTCCTGGGTGACCTTGGCCAAGTCACTTAACTTCTCTGAGCCACAGTCTCATCATCCATACCATGAATGGATTGGATCAGACCCCCATGTTTAAAGCCCCCCTGAGAAGGATCTTTTGGTCCCACCAGCTGGATTTCCCATTCTAGAAAGGGAATCTTTCTCGGTGGATATTGGGACCCCAAGTTTGGGTTGACAGGAGTAATCCCTTTAGTTTTCTTCCCACCAGCCAAGGAGAGCCCCGTGCTCTCCTCGTACGTGTCCGCGGGTCCGCTCAGATGGGTTCATCTCTGGGAGCTGCAGAGAGCACGTGGAGAAATTAACACTGTCCCCTTTAGGGACAGCTTACCCATGATGCCCTCCCCGTGTACAGCAGCCCAGGGAGAGAGCTGTGTGCTCCTTTCCCCCTCTAGAACCATTCCTGGCTTCTCTTTAGCCCTGGCCTGCTGGCCTGAGCAAAGGGGCTGGGAGCACAGCAGAGGGAACGAGGAAAAAACCCTCAGAACCCAGCCTTTCCCCGGGGGAGACCTGGGGGAGGAGCTTGGACGGGAGGCCACTGGACCAGTCTGCAACTGTCGTGTTTTGGGGCTAGGCAAAAGCAGCTCATCGCTTTCCCGGCATGCGTTATCTCGTTGGCCCTTTCCCGCCATGATTAATCACATGACCGCGTTTGTGCACAGGAGACCCCCTCAGAAAGGGCCGGTGGGCTGTGTACAGTCTCAGCTGCATTTAACCTGATGAATGAAGCTCAGGCAACCTGCTTTGAAGCTTTTTCCTGCCAGTCAGTTAAAAGTATTCCCCGCAGGTTTTGTATTCTCTGTTTGTCTTTCGTAAAAGACTTCAGGCAACTCGTCCTGAGAAAAGAAAAATTGCAACTTAAAAAAACAAATCACACTAAAACCGTCAGGAGAGGGATTGTAGTGGTTTAGCTTGAAGACAGATGCTTGTTAAACATGAGCAGTAGCAGGACCGCAGTGGACAGCAGGGCAGGTTGTGCACTGCACAACTCCAAGGAGCAGAATTCATTACGATATAAATGACATCCCCAACATTGTGCAGCGGTTCTGAGTGAAATGGCATTGTATAGATAAGCAAGCCCTGGTCAAAAAGTGGCCTTGCTAGGGATCCGGTGTCCTAGCTATCAGGGAGCCCAGCCAGTTGCTTCTCTCCTGAAATCCTTGAGCAAACCTGGACTTGGGCATTGGAGTCTCAAACAGCGTAGGCTATAGGATAGGAGAGAACCTGTAGATTAAGGGCAGAGTTTGGGGACAACATCCGTCTAGGGCAGAACTGTCAGTGCCTGGGTTACTTTCTCCATTAACTAGATGTGGGTAACTTTTAGGGTGAGCTGGAGAAGCAGCTTCTACAAGCAAACCCGATTCTGGAGGCTTTTGGCAACGCGAAGACGGTCAAGAACGACAACTCTTCACGGTTTGTAAGTAGCAAAACTCCTGTGGCGTCCTCCCCTGCCCGAGAATGCAGAGTCTGTGCATGCAGGGGGCCCGCGACGGAAGGGGTGGAGGGCGCACATCACAACAGCACGTTGTTCCGTATCTTCGGTCCAGCCTCAACCTTCCGGTGCCGCAAGGAAGGGCTCCTGCCACACATCCCCTCATTCGTTCATTCGTTCGTTCGCTCTTCACTCAACGGTTAGCCAGTGAGCATCTGTTGTATACTAGGCACCTGTTAGGCGTTTGACGTTTATTCAGTAGACGTTTACTGGGCACCTAGGAGGTGCTGGACGCTTAACCCAGTGCTCATTCAAAACGCAAATTGGACACCCACAGTGTCCAGACACGTACATCCTTCAGCAAGTATTTATTAGGCGCCTACTGTATACAGTCACTCGTATGCTTTTACGGGCACCATTCTCTTTTGTTTTCTCAGTGGCTCGGTTACTTATTAGGCACCCACTGTGTACTAAGATGCTGCACTAGGCTCACAAGATTGTAGCAAGCAGTGCAGAAGCTGCTCCAGCCTTCATGAAGTTTGTGGTCTAGTTGGGGAGCTGAGAGTCCCCGCCACCTTCCCACAGATGCGTCCCTGGGCTCCAAGGGTCTCCCTTTCTCCCTTGAGCCTAAGGAGGGGGCAGGAGAACCCTGAGAGTGGGTGGTCAATGACATGAAGACATGGCCCACATGTCCCAAAGAGGAGGATTGATTCCCAGCTGGATGAACTTGACCCTGGTGGGTTGTGACTGAGCCAGCATGCTTCTGGGGTGGGGGCAGGGAGGGAGCCCTCCAGCCACCGGCTGCCCCAAAACTTGCCTTCTCCTTACTTATGGTTCTACCTCTCAGGAGCAGTATCCCATTGGGCAGGTCGTACTACCTTGCCCAGCCTCAGTTTTCCCACCTTGACAATGGGGATAACCAGAGCCACCTGGGTGGCTCAGTCGCTTAAGTGTCCGACTTGAGCTCGGGTCATAATCTCACGGTTCGCGAGTTTGCGCCCGACATCGGGCTCTCTGCTGTCAGCGTGCAGCCTGCTTCGGATCCTCTGTCCCCTTCTCTCTCTGCCCGTCCCCCACTTGCACGCACGCTCTCTCAAAAATTTAAAAAAAATTTTAAATGAATAAACAAACGGGGGTTGCCATGACTGGCCGAGGGCCAGTGCAAGAGCCAGATGAAATTGATTTCACATCGCGAGGCCTGGATCCTCCCCCAGCTCAGCTGGTGGTAGTTCCTTCCGACATGCTGACCTGTGAGACTCTTGAGTGTTTGCAAGAAACCTCTCTCTGTCCCCCCACTCCCACCCCCAAATGCTCCCCGACACGTCTCCACTTGCCTGCAGGGTGGGGGGTGAGGAGCTGAGGCTGGGGAGCCCCCCGTGAACCGTGTTCTCCTGTTGGCAGGGCAAATTCATCCGCATCAACTTCGATGTCACTGGTTACATCGTGGGAGCCAACATCGAGACGTGTATCCTCTGCTGAGCCTGGGCCACGCGGGACCCGCCCCGTAACCCACCTCCTGCCCTAGAGCCTGAGAGGCCCAAGAAAGGTGGCAGAGCGGCCCCTCCGTCTCCAGGCTCTCGGGCTCCTTCCAGAACAAATCTGCCTGGGGTTGTTGTGGTCCCACAAATGCGGACCCCGGTTGTGAGCCCCAAACAGCTTGCCTTTGATTCTGGGTTGACCTCTCCTTAGCTGAGTCACCTTGGGCCAGTTACTCGACCTCTCTGTGCCTCGTCAGTGGAGTGGGGGTGATAACACTGCCTGCCTCTCAGAGGGATTGTGAGAATGAATTAACTCATGGACAGAGGGGCAGAGTGAGGCCGGTTGAGGATTGGCTTTTGCGTGATCGTGCCTTCGTCCTCCTTGAGCCGCAGACCCCTGGTGCTGCTTAGGGAGCTGGTCTGTGACCGGTGTCCAGCCCAGAGGTAGGAAAAAGTGGAGGAACAATCTGCCCCCAAGGAGAGAATCTGGTTGGCAGAGCGGAGCCCCTTGGAAATGCCTGGACTCAGGGACCAAGTCTATGGTCCAGTGACGGATCCCCTGAGAAGCATGGCAGGTGCCTCTCAGGCCCAAGGACGTTGTATTTTTATTGCTGCTTGTGGAGCATTTGCTTGGCTCCTGGGACCCTGGGGAATGTTCTAGTTGCATTTTGGTGCCCTGGATGAGGGGGGGTTTTGGAGTGGCTCCGGTCTCCGTCCATTCTCAACTCTGCCTCATTTGCTGTGGGGCTTGGGGCAAGTCACTTGACCTCTCTGAGCCTCATTAAAAAAAAATTTTTTTTTAATGTTTATTTACTTTTGAGGGACACATAGAGAGAGAGAGAGAGAGAGCAAGTGAGCCCGAAGCAGGCTTCAGGCTCTGAGCTGTCAGCACAGAGCCTGATGCAGGACCCGAACTCCCAAACCATGAGATCATGACCTGAGCCAAAGTCGGACGCTTACCCGACTGAGCCACCCAGGTGCCCCTCTGAGCCTCACTTTTGCCACCAGTGAAAGGGGGGTGATAACAGCACCTACCTATGGGGCGGCTCTTAAATTGTCATTTAAATGAAATGACCCGCGTGGCCCTTGGCCCAGGGCTTGGCCGGAAGTGAACGTCCGTGGCTGTCACATCATCGCTCTCTTGGGTCATTTTCCATTTTAATCCACTCAGACATTTCCCCCCCAGAAAATCAGTATTCGTCTGGCCTACAATGTCTGTATTCATCTAGGGAGGCATCCACAGCCAGTGGGAGCTCCTTGAAGTCACACGTGAGAACCAGACTCCGTATCACTGTATTAAAATCAGCAAAACCCTAACCACTAAAGAACAGAGGGCCACGCATTTCTGCTCTGTGCCCCCCAGACCCCCTGGATTAGATGGTGTCCTCTCCCCTGCTCTGCTGTGTCAGGCCATGAAGAGTGGTTTTGCCTCACGAGGCCTCTTCTAATATAGGTCCACAGATTCTAAAACCCAGAAACTTCTGGAAACCAAAACTCAGCTGGTGGTAAAACCCGCCGAGCACACACGAGGCTCTTTGTAGTCTCTTTGTTCCCTGTAGGAGAACAATGACATCTTTGGCTGCAGGACTATCAGTGGGCTCCCTCAGAGCCATTGAGAACCTTCTAGAATGTTCGTAGTATGTCCACAGTGGTCTGTCCACAAATCTAGAAACTTCTGAAACTGTTGGGAAAAGAGATTGTAGACCTTGTGGTACTTTTTTTTTTTTTTTTTTTTTGGGACAGAGAGAGACAGAGCATGAACGGGGGAGGGGCAGAGAGAGAGGGAGACACAGAATCGGAAACAGGCTCCAGGCTCTGAGCCATCAGCCCAGAGCCTGACGCGGGGCTCGAACTCACGGACCGCGAGATCGTGACCTGGCTGAAGTCGGACGCTCAACCGACTGCGCCACCCAGGTGCCCCATCTTGTGGTATTTTTATAACCGCTAACCTTACGCAGGGATTGCTGTGGGAGGCGGCGGGGCACCGGCCTGGGCCCTGGGCTCACTGGGTGTCCTGCAAGTCTGGCCCGGCTCTGGGAGCTGCCCCGAGCTTCCACGGGGCTGCGGATGAGCAGGAGCTGGGCACTGGCGGGCCGGTGGAGCTCGGATTCTTGAGGCTTTACAGGCACCGCTTCCCGTTGGTTCGGTGGGAAGCGGGCCCCGGGCCTCCAGCCAGCCCAGCCACGCTGACACCCGGTGCCCTTTCTGGGCTGAGATGCCCCCTCTCGGGGGGAAGAAGAAGAAGATTCTGTCTTACGGTCTGTTCTCCGGTCCCTTCACACATGCTTCTCAGCTGTTCGTTTCTGGTGTTGGTGGCAAATCCTGGGCAGAGGCCCCGTCCCTCAGCTTCCGCCCTTCGGGTCAGGGACCGGGACGGTGTGCTCCCTGCGTCGCCTGCTCGACACACAGACCTCCCGGTGCTTCCCGGGCCTGCTGACCTGGAATTCCGGGGGTGGGCCGGCGACCCGGGTGTTTGCGGGCCTTCTAAGGCCGCACAGGTGGCATTGGGCTCAGGAGGGAGAGGCAATTGCCGGCCGGTTTTAGGGCTCCGGGAGGGCCTGCCCCACGGTCCTGCAACATCACACTTAAGGAGGAGAGATCTACCCGGTGCAACCGCCCAGCCACCCGTGTGCCCTCCGCCACCCTCCGGGACCCCCGTGGTCTCCCTGCCCCTACACAGGGCAACAGGCCCTCCTTTCCTTCATTAGGGCTGTGTTCACGTTCCCTTTCCCCAGGCTCGTTGAGCCCCAGCCCCTTGGCCAGGGTGGTTTTGGCCACCCACACATGGCTTTGCCACCTGCTAGCTGTGTGCTCTCGGAAAACGACCTCCTTCCCTGAGCCTCCGTTTCCCTATATTGAAAATGCAAATAATATTTGCCTTTACGTCCCACGATAGTTGGTGAGGCTTAAAAGAGCCCACCCCCCCTCCCTCAGTTGGTGAGACAGGGAGGGGGAGGAAGGTTGGGTTCCCGAAAGGAGACACTCTGTGGTATCCCCGGAATTCTTAACTCCTCCCAAACCAGATCTGCTGGAGAAGTCTCGGGCCATTCGCCAAGCCAGAGACGAGAGGACGTTCCACATCTTTTACTACCTGATTGCTGGAGCGAAGGACAAGATGAAAAGTAAGTGACCTGTGAGGATGCATCACTGTGGGGAGGGGGGGGGGAGCCAGTGGGGGGTGGGGTTCAGCCCTTCCCATGGGCAATACGTAAACCAGTGGGCATAGCTGTGTTACTATAAAACTTTATTTACAAAGTAGGCAGTATGCCATAGTTTGTTCACCTCTGTGGTAGGAAAAAGTATTTTTACGGAGGTATAACTAACATATAACATGTTACTTCCAGGTATACAACGTGATGATTCTATATTTGTAGATACTGCAAAATGGTCACCACAGTACGTGTGGTTAACATCTGTCAATGGTAGGGGAGATACTTTTCCCATAAATGGAATATACTGTATATCAGATTCCAGTAGGAAATTGCATGTATGTCTGAACTTACCGCAATTTGCTAACCAACCCCCCCCCCTTTTTTTTGCATATGCTTAAAAGAATATGCAAACCACATACCTGAAAAAAAGGAATCTACCAGTGAATATATAGGTACATAGTGCAGTCTAAATCCTAGTAATAATTTTAAGACTGAAATGTTATGAAGACAATCCAGACTTTGCTTCCCATCGGTTTTGTGGCCCAGGGTTCGTCCTTTTGCTTAAGAAAATCGCCAACAAAGATGTGTGTGCTGGTACCTTTGTTGTGATGAGGCGTATTTCAAGGTTCAGCCGCTGGGGGAAAGTGGGGAGGTGCCAAACATATGCGGTACCTTGGAAATTAGATTAATTGTCAGTTACAGTGTGGGACCTTATGAGGTGGCTTAGGGAGAATGAGCCAGTTTTGTGCTCTGTCCCTAGTCTTTAAGGCTAACTACTGAAATTCTTACGGGCCATTTTTATTCTTGATGATAGATCTGGAAAACGGTGGGGCTTTTAGAGAAGATCAGATATCTGGCAATTTACCCATAGTCTGCGAAATGAAATCTTGGCAAAGACCCAGAGCCTTGTGACTTTAATCAGGCATCACGGCTAATCCACAGGCTGGAGTTATCTGGTGTCTTGGGTCACTTTAACATCAGGCACCTTCCAAGTGACTTGACCCATAAAAGACATTTCTTTAGAAAGAAAAGCATCTCGTTGACTTTCCTCCAAAAATATTCAACCAAATCCAGCCTCATTAAAGATTGATCTGGAAGAGGACGCTTGATGTGCCAGAGGGTGTCCTAAAAGCAAAGAGCACAAGGAAAAGGGAAGCAGTTATAAATTTGGGGAGGGAAAGGGGAAGAGAGAGCTGAGTAGCAACAACTAAGTGTAACCACAGAATATACTCTACAGAGAACAATGTTTCATGATAAACAATGTTTCATGATAGGAACCAGGAGTCGCCACAAGGGGTCGCCACAAATGTTTTTGCTAAAGGGCCACATGGTTTTTGCTAAAGGACGGTATGGTTTCTGTTGCAGCAACTCAAATCTGCCTGCCACTGTTACGTAAAAGCAGCCATAGAAAATTGACAAGGAAATGAGAGTGGCTGTGTTCCAATAAAACTTTATTTACAAAAACAACCAGCAGACTAGATTTGACAAGCTCTGATATCAACTTATGTAGCGACTTGACTGGAAATAGTTGGAGGTAGGGGGAGGTGGTGTGAGAGAGCTAAATCTTTATCCACCATTATAGAGGGGTCAGTAGGTAAGATCTCATCTTGAAATATCCAGAAATAGCCTATTATACGTGATATGGAAACATAACATTATAACTTATATAAGCCCATGTAATATAGGACATGTTATGTAGTGTATACAAATGTATGTTACATGTGATTAAATTAAAGCTATTATGTAGAGATCGTGGTAAGTGCCAGAAGAAACAGCCCAAAGAGTTAAAAGCAGTGCTATAGGGTAAGGTAGGAATTGGAAGAAAGGCAGACAGGGAATGGTGTTTTTATTATAAACCTTTTGGTAGTAGTTGATTTTTAAAATTCATGGGAATTAGCGATTTGATAAATTTATTTATTTTTCATTTTTTTTAAACACTTACTTATTTTTGAGACAGAGACAGAGCATGAACAGGGGAGGGTCAGAGAGAGAGGGAGACACAGAATCCGAAACAGGCTCCAGGCTCTGAGCTGTCAGCACAGAGCCTGACGCGGGGCTCGAACTCAGACCGTGAGATCATGGCCTGAGCCTAAGTCGGACGTTTAACCGACTGAGCCACCCAGGCGCCCCAGCGATTTGATAAATTTTCACAAATAGATGGATAAGGATTGATCTTGCTTTTCAGGCAGCATTGTTCCTAACGGCAGGGTGTTCTTGGGCAATTGAGATAAAGGTGTGCCTTCCTCCAGCTAGCTGCAAGCCTGTGTCAAGGGACATGGCTTAGCAAGGGGAGCCAACACTGGGTTTTAGCTTCCAGGCACCCTGGAGCAGTGCACAACCTATACCACTGTATTAGGCCAGTGATGGTTGGTGAGGCCTTCTGTGTCATGGAACCAGAAGGAAGGTTTTAAACCGTCCACGGCTCGGGACAGGTTCCTGCCTCATGTTCAAAGTCCATCCTCCTGACCACCACCCCATCTTCCTCTCCTTCCAGATGACTTGCTTTTGGAGGGCTTCAACAACTACACATTCCTCTCCAATGGCTTTGTGCCCATCCCAGCTGCCCAGGATGACGAGATGTTCCAGGAAACCCTGGAAGCCATGGCGATCATGGGCTTCAGTGATGAGGAGCAGCTGTGTAAGTCTTCATGCCTTCAGGCTGGGTGCCGGCAAGGAGGCCGGGATTCATGCCCTCTGGGCCACTAACATTAGTTAGAGAGCCTTCCCTGGTAAGGACAGATTTCTGCTTGCTGAATTCTGCTCCGCCCCTCCCCACCCCCACCCGCCAGACACCCTCAAAAAAAAAAAAAAAGAAGAAGAAGAAGGAAAGTGAACATTACCTTAAGGTAGCTTATTGGTGTTTTAGAAAAGTGGCTTCATATGTTAGGGTTTTTTCAGTTACAAATGACCCAAATTGGCTTAAGCGAAAAGGAAAATGATCTCACAGAGCTGGAAAGTTCAGGGATATGGGTTTCAGGTACAAGGAGTTCGATGGGCTCAAAGAGTGTCTCTGGAACCTGGTCTCTCAGCAGTATTGTCTTTAGGTAGGCTGCAGTTTCTTGGGGACAGAATGGCTGCTGTAGCGCCAGCCCTTACATCCCTTGGGTTTATGTCCAGCAGGAAAGAACAGATTGGAATCCCTGCCTGAGTCCCTGAATGGAGTAGGCTGATATTTCTTAGGTGCATATTCCTGAGTTATTCACAATGATCGGGGTTATGGAAAACTCTGAGAGGCTTATGTTATGGTCTCTACTCCATTTTGGAGCTGGAAACAGAGAGGTTGTTGGTCTCGTCAAGAACACATGGGCAGAGGATAGGCGGGGAGTGGGGGGCATATCTGAGGCAGTGGGTTTACTTGTTCTCTTCCTGGAAAGGCAGTTCTGGGGATAGGCCAGTACCGATCAATGTCACCAGCCCGTGACCAAGAAGCACATTTGGTTCTGAGATCAAGAAAGCCCAGAGAGATAATCTTGGTTTCCACACTGGGCTTTAAGAAATTCTTTGCCTTCTGGGTTAGACGTGCCCCAGTGTTCAAGGTTAATCTCTTTTGGGAACACCAGGACATGGTTGTGGAAAATGTTTCTTCCTTCCCACGCCCACACCCCTTTGGAGCCCCAGAATAGTGCTAGGGTTGCTGCGATGCAGCATAGAGGGAGGAACGGCTTCCCCAGAGGTAACTGGGGGCCCAGAAAAAAAGACTCCGTGGGTCAGTTGACAAATGGGTGGTGGTTGTGGATTTTGGCCAGAGCCCCACATCAGAACCCAATATTAACAGCATCCCTTCCTGAATGGCATGGGCTCTCCCAGAATGATTCATTTTATTTGGGACACGAGTCCTTTTTACTTCTGATCTTGGCTTTGGAAAAAAAAAAACAAAACAAAACTACACACATGAACAGCTAACGATTAAATACTTGCTGTATGCCAGACATTTGCGAAAGCCTCTTTTCAAAAAAAGGTACCAAGGTGTCCAGTTTTAAATAATAAAAAAAAAAATGAAACGATCAAACTAAAACTTTGACCAATGAAGATTTACTCAATTATCGATAATTGGGCCTTAAGAAAGAAATCGATAGGGTCTTCTAAATTGTTTTAGAACAGTATTGACTCATATGGAAATGGTTCTAATACATTTAAAGTGAAGATGTCAGGTGACACAGCAGTAGAAGTGCTTTATATGCATTATTTAGTATTTTTTTTTAATTTTAATGTTGATTTATTTTTGAGAGAGACAGAGACAGAGTGTGAACAGGGGAGGGGCAGAGAGAGGGAGACACAGAATCCGAAACAGGCTCCAGGCTCTAAGCTATCAGCCCAGAGCCCGACACGGGGCTCAAACTCACAACCCATGAGGTCATGACCTGAGCCAAAGTCGGATGCTTAACCGACTGAGCCACCCAGGCGCCCCCATTATTTAGTATTGAAAGAACCCCACGATGTGGCCACTGTTATCCCCAGTTTGCAGATGAGGAAACTGAGGCACAGAGAAGTGAAGGAACTTGCCCAAGGACACACAGCTGGAAGAGCTAGGACTCCCTCTGGGGCCTCAGGGACTCCCAAGCCCCACTGTGTGGTCCTCTGTGCTCTGTTTTTGTCTGTGGGGATGTGGTTTTTGTCCTTTAAACCCTTCCAAAAATCCCTGCCAGAACCAAGGTATGGGAATTGAGGCTAGAAGGAGCCCGGTGTGTTCTGAAACGTGGACTCGTGGCATTACTAGTCACGTGGAATCCCACTGCAGGATGTTTTGCTTTCTCTGATCCTTTCAGCTCTCCTGATGACTTTCAAGGAAGAGAGTAGCAGATCGGCACCCACTAAGTCCTCAGCCCCTCTCTGGTACTGGCTAATGTCCCCTTTCACCCCGGAGAGCAGACTCCAGGCCTGGCATCTTGCTGGAATTTGATAATATTATTCCCTTCCCTGTATTTATTTTTATAGTTGCCATCTATTTATGGCAAGGGAAGTTGATTTGTTTTTAATGTTTTTATTTATTTTCAAGAGCGAGCATGAGCGGGGGAGGGGCAGACACAGAATCGGAAGCAGGCGCCAGGCTCTGAGCTGTCAGCACAGAGTCCGATGCGGGGCTTGAACTCACGCGCCGTGAGATTATGACCTGAGCTGAAGTTTGGACGCTTGACCGACTGAGCCACCCAGGTGCCCCAAGGAAAGCTGATTTTGCATTTGTGAAATCATTTCCTAGTAAACTGCAGGAAAGAGAAGTAAATGAATGATTAGAAAAATGCACAGCAGCCCCAGTTAGAACGCCAGAGCTGCTCCCAATGCCCCACCGAGAAGCTGAAGGACAATGGGGCTGGGCGGGGGGGATCAGTGCAAGCCCTGGAGCCTCGTGGGGCCCCAGGAACCACCCCCTCTGGTTCCTGGAGCTCTTGTGAGGGACAAGTACTTGCCTAGGCCACACAGAGAGTTAGCAGCAGTAGAGGACTGGAACCATCATAACATCCCAGCAACTGATGTTTCTTGGGTACTGACCGCGTTGAGGCGCTTTGCATTTACTCCACATGACGATCCTAGGAGGTGGATGTTTTGATCGGCCTTCAAATGGTGAAACAGGGGCCCAGAGAGGCTGATACCTGACTTGAGGTCACACAGCCAGTAAGACTAGGGCCAGGATACGAACCCCCTGGCAGCTAGCTCCGGCACCCAGACAGACCCTCCCAGGGACTGTCTAGATCCATTTCCCAGATGTCCTCATTTGTAAGTGACTCCACTTCCAGGTCCCAGCCATATTATCATTGGCTGACAATTATTGTGCACAGTGTAGATTTCTGTAGCCCTATACTGCTTGAACTTTGTCCGAAACAACAATTTCTGTACAATCACTAATTGTATGTCCTTACTATTTCTAGTAAGTTAGAATAAATGCCTAAGGATCCAGACTTTTGGAAAGTTTTGCCCGTCACCTAGAACCATCCGTTCTGGGTACCCTTGGCAGTGCTTAGGCCTCGTGTTAGAAAACCCTCTTTCTTATTCTTCCGTAAATAACGGCGGTAAGTCCGTTCGCTGTGGCTACTCGAACAAATAACCACAGACCTGGTGGCTTCAAACAACAGAAACTGATTTTCTCACGGCTCTGGAGGCCACAAGCCCAAAGTCACAGTGTTGGCACAGCTTGCTCCTTCCGGAGGCTGTCAAAGAAAACCCACCCCGTGCCTGCTTCCAACTGGGCGGGTCCTCTCCTCTTCTGCTACCAGGACACCTGTCATTGGATTTGGAGCCCACCAGGTTCATCCAAAATGATCTCACCTGAGATCCTTGACTTAGTTACCTCTGCAGGGTTCTTCTTTCTGTGGAAGTTCACGTTCCCAGCTTCCGGCTGGACATATCTTCTGGGGTACAAGCCACTGTAGGTGGCTGTTCAGTAACCACTGGGCCAGGCTCCTTGCTTGCCTCCACCGTCTGGACAGAAACTTCTTGAAGCACATGCTCCAGTTTGCAGACGGGGAAACTGAGGCTCAGCACGATGCAGCTGGGGTTTTCTAACTCCAGAGTGCCTGGTTTCACTCACTGCCCCAGACCGCCAGCCCTCGCCGCCCTTGCGTTTGGTGTAGCCCCTTCCAGCCACTTTGGTGCCCACTGGTACTCTTTCGGATGGTTCAGTTCCTGTGGCCTGAGTATGGTGGCCATTCTTCCATTTCTGTGATCCCATTATCGGTACCAGAAAAAGCAGCGCGATGGGGCCTGAGCCCACAGGGAGGGATCGACCTACACAGGCTTCAAAGTTGTTGTAAGTTGGCTCCCAGCATTTAAACATGAGTAGGTTTCACATTAAGAATCTGGGTTTCCATCCGCTTTGGATACATCGGCCTGGGAGCAGCACTGGACTTGCTGCATGACTGGAGTCCAGCTGTACCCCTTCAGGTGGGGTTGTGGCTCCCATGCGTCCCCACAGTCCCCTTCAGTTTGCTTTATTCATTTAGACCAGTGGTTCTTAATCTGCGGAGGTTGGCCTCCTAGGGGGCATTTTTTGTTCTCAGAACTCAGAAGAGGGAACGCTACTGACACCTAGTGGTGGGAGACCAGGCGTGCTGCTGAACATCCTACAGACAGGCACAGGGCAGCCCCATGAGTGATTTATCTGGCCCCCAGTTTCAATAGTGCCAAGGTTGAGAACCCTGAGTTAGACGGATTCCCTGGGCTCTGGGGTCACTTCAGCAATTCTTAGTTTAAACTTCGAGTTCAGAAACTGTTAGTATAGCGGGGCGCCCCGGTGGCTCAGTCGGGTAAGCATCCTACTCTTGATTTTGGCTCAGGTCGTGGTCTTGTATTTTGTGAGATCAAGCCCTGCATGGGGCTCTCTGCTGGCAGTGTGGATGGAGCCTGCATGGGATTCTCTCTCCCCTCTCTCTGTGCCCCTCCCCCACTCTTTCTCTCTCTCAAATACATAAACATTGAAAAAAACTATTAGCATAGCACCCAATAGTTTACAAAGCCCGTTTAGTATAGTTTTTTTAATGTTTGTATTAATTAGTGATCTCTCTTTCCATCCATCCATCCATCCATCCATCCATCCATCTGCCCATCATTTAGTCCATCCATTTGTCAATCCATTGATCAACCCATCAGTGTATTGATCCATCCATTGATTTATTTATCCATTGTTTACTCCATTTTCCATCCTTCCTTCCATCCTGCACCCCCCATGCATCTTCCCTGTCTCTCCATGTGTATCTGGACCCTTAAGTAGGCTTTGAGAATGCAGAGACGATAGGACAGCCCCCCATTCGCCAGTAACTCATGGTCTTGAGGGGATTTCAGACATAGGCACCATTTTAATAGTAACATGGGCTGAGTACGGAGTCAGAAGGGCTCCAAGGGTCTGGGGACACATTATTTTGTCTGGAGACACCTGGCTGTCAAGTGGGAAAAAATTTCCCCCTTCTCAATCCTCGCATGAGCATCTTGTATACTTAGCCAGACTACATTGAGAAGCACGGGGATTGTTGCTTTGTTTTGTTGGTTTTTAAATAACTCTTAGTGACATACAATTTACATTTAGAAAATCATGTATATCATAGGTGCACAGTTTGATTAACCTTTATGGACTGAATACACCTGTACTGCTAGTAATCATTTTAACTAAGAGAACACCAACAGAGCCCCAAAGCTTCCCCATAGCCCTTCTAGTAGATTCCACCCAATGAAGGATAACCATCATCCTGACTTCTAACACCATAGTTTTCCCTGTTCTTGAACTTTCTGTAAGTGGACTTACATAGTTACTTTATTGTTTGCCTTTGGCATCTTTTGTTCTGCATCTGTGAGATACAACAGTTTTGTTGTTTATGGTGGTAACTCATTCATTCTTCTTGCTGTATAGTGGGGATTGACAAACATTTTCTGTAAAGGGTCACGTAAGTAAATACTTTAGCATTTGTGGGCCATTTGATCTCTGTTGCAACTGTTCAGCTCTGCCCTTGGAGCAGCCAACAGCTATTGACAATACGTAAATGAATCATTATGGCTGTGTTCCAATAAAACTTTATTGACAACAACAAGCAGTGGGCCAGAGTTGGTCCATCGGCTGTAGTGTGCCAGCCCCTGCTTCACGGTGTTCCTTTGAGCACAAGATTGTCAGCAAGCATCTGAACATATTCTGGTACCCCCAGCCAGGTTTTCTACCCTGTTAGCATGGTATTAGATTAGTTTGCCTCTTTCCTAGACTTAGGAGCTCAGAACTGAGTCTTCTTTCGAGAAAGATGTAGGCTGACTCTAAGGTCCCCAATAACTTGTAGATTCTAAACCTCCACGGCCCCTCGGTGTTGAGGTCTATGCCTTATCTTCTCTTCTGTCCTCATCCAGCCATACTGAAGGTGGTGTCGTCCGTCCTGCAGCTTGGAAATATTGTCTTCAAGAAGGAAAGAAACACAGACCAAGCATCAATGCCGGATAACACAGGTGCTTGCTGCCTTGTCCCAATAACTGACAACGTCTGTGGTGGGAAGGAGCGTTTGGTTGTTTTTTGGATACGGTTATTAACAAGAACTAAACTAAGTTATTTTCGCTGACTTCTGTCCGAGACTTTTTACTGCTGAAGATCCTACAGTGGGAAGTTCTTGAATCAGAGTGTGGGCGAGGAAAGCTAATAGTTTTAGATCACACAGGATCCTTAGGGACCATCAGTTCTATAACCCCCTGTTTGTTAATTTTGTTAAGCAAATATTTTTGGGCCTGCACCATAGCCAGGCGCTGGGATTCATCGGCAAACTAGACAGGAACAGCCCCATTCCTCACGTGGGGGACACAGACCCCAAGTTTCTCCGCAGTTAGAGTTGCCAGATAAAATAGAAGATACCCAGGTAAATTCAAGTTTCAGATGCTCAGCCAACATTTTTTATTATAAAATGTATCACTCTATAATATATTGTATGTCCCATGCAGTGTGTGGGACCTAAGTATAATTTTTAAATGTTGGTTGTTTCTCTGAAATAAAGGCTTAACTAGGCATCCTGGTTTGTTTGCTTTTTTCTCAATATGCCAGCCCTACCTGCTAATACCTGCACTGTTTTGTGTTATGGAAAGGTTGCTTGGTTATCTATCCCCCGTGCTTGTTGGTGGCTGAGCCAAATGGATAGCAAGTTCCTGGCTTGTCTACCTGTTGTCTGAACATGCCCCACACAGACTATATACTGCGTTGTTTTTGAAGCTCCCCGGAGCTTACCCTCCACAGGCCCTGCCAGTGGTTTCTGGTGTCACACACTCCGAAATATGGCGAGTTAAAGGTCTCCTCCCACCCAGGAGACAACTTCAGGGAAAGACAAACCAAAAAAAAAAACTAAACAAACAAAACCAAAAAAAACAAAAAACACACCCCTTGCAAAGACAGGGAAAAAAATCCTAAAACCACACCGCGGATCGTCCACCACGCATAGGCAAGCCATCAGACAAGAGTAGCCTTCGTGTTGAGCAAACAGTAATGGTGGATGATGATTTTCTTTTGAGGATGAGTTTTAAGAGAAGAAATACATGAATATTACAAGAATCCACCATCCAGAAGTGGCATTTGTGAATATGTTCTAATGCTGCCTGGTCGTTAACCTGAAACAATGTAACCCACGTTGACATCCCAGTCACCTCCTTGTCTCCCGGCAACCACAGCTGTATGTTACTATGTCCCCTTCCAGTTGTATTTTAGGCTTTTCACACACATGTATCTAAACCATATATAGTGTTGCTTTGTGAGTGTGATTTTAATGTACATAAGTGATTTCACCTGGGAGTCAGCATTCTGCAACTTGTTTTTCTCTCTGCTCACCCTTGTCTGGATCAGGGTTTTTCAACAGTAGCGCCCCCTGGTGTGACAATCAAAAATATCTCCAGACATTGCCCGATGTCCCCTGGGGGCAAAATTATCCCCAGTTGAGAAAGAGAGTCGTTCCTTTTAACTGCTGTTTGGTATTCATGGTACATTTTCTCGCTCCCATATTAATGGACATTTAAGTAGTTTCCGGTATTTTCCACCACACATAATGATGCACTGCATATCTTGGCGTAGTGGGACACATTTATTGATAGTTGACCATGTGCCAGGCACTTTACGTGCCTTCCCTCTTTTCATCTCATTGACAACCCAACAAGGTACCAAATGGTTGTGTCTTTATGAACTGAGAAAAGCAAGACTCTAGGAAGTTAAATAGCTTTTCCCAAAGCACATGGCCCCATCCCACCCCATCATTGCCACTTAGCAAAACATTGGGGATGAGGTCACCAATGACAGCAGTTTTCAGGACCCTTTCATGCTATGTTCACTACGTCATGCTCCATTTCTCAAAAAGTACCAATTGCATACACAGATCACAAGTATCCCAGGTGATGTGCCTTCGTTCCTAAGCCTTCTCTTTGGTAATACACTTAATATGCTTTTTTTTCTCCATCCAGCTGCTCAGAAAGTTTGCCACCTCATGGGAATTAATGTGACAGATTTCACCAGATCTATCCTGACCCCACGTATCAAGGTTGGGCGGGATGTAGTACAGAAAGCTCAAACAAAAGAGCAGGTAATGATGCATTTGCTGTTTGTTTTTGTGTGTGACATTTATTCCTGAGCTTGCATATTTTTCCGCAGACTCTTCCATCCATCTGTTCATCCATCTATTCTTTCACCCATCCATGCTTCCTTACTTCCATCTCTCCATCCATCCATCCATCAATCCATCCATCT